TCGTCCGTCCCGTTGGGGGGGGGGGTGCGCAGCTGAAAGGGACCAGCCCGCTCTCCTCTGAGTACTGTGTGCCCTGGGCAAGTCGCAGCCCCTCTGGGCCTCAGTTTCCTTTTCTAGAAAACGGGGGTGCGGAGCTGTCCTGGAGCCCCCAAGGTGGGTGTGGTACCCGTCTGCACCTCCCGGACGAGGACCCAGACTCAGAGCCAGGCTGCCACCCTGGGGGACACAGATGCCAGAGAGGCAAGGCTCAAGAAGCAGCACGAGGGACCAGCAGTTAGCATAATGGCTATGTCGCTGGACTCCCATGTAGTCAACCATGGTTTGAGTCCCAGACCCGGTGGCTTAAAACTCATGCCGGGCGCATGTGTGTTTGTGCCCAAGATCCTGAGAGGAGAATGGAGAAGGGATTGTGGTGTGGCCATCCCCCCCGGGGGGGTGATTTCTCGCTTTCTATCTCTCTGTCTGTCTCTGTCTGGTGAGCGCACACACCCTATAGTGAAAACCTCCCCCGCACCCCCCAAATAAAGCAGCAGCATGAGGCCCTGCCATGGCAGGACGTGGGCACCAGCAGGTGGTGAGGCCGGGGCGTGGGAGGGATCAAGACCTTGTTAACCCCGTCCTCCACCCTGGCAGGAGGGTACCTCCAAGTTTGCCACCCTGGAGATGAACCCCCGGAGAGCCCAGAAGCGGCCAAAAGAGACAGTGAGTGTGCAACTGGGCCAGGGCAGGGGGATGGCGAGCTGGCTCCTGGTTGGGGAGAAGGGAGCCATTCCCTCCTGTGGCCATAGTTGAAGTGCCCCGTGAGATGCAGCAGGGCTGGGCTCAGGGCAGGTGTGGCCTAGGAGGTGACAAGAGATTTGGGGCCACAGAGTCCAGGAAGACTCAGTGATGGCTGAAGGTCCCCAGGCTGCTCCGAGGGAGAGGCTGGGGTCGGGTGAAGGTCTGCAGCTGAGAAGCCTGCATCGAAGGGACTCTGGGCCTGGCTCACCGTCCCACCTGTTGCCATAGGGTGTCATCCAGGGTACTGTCCCCTACCTGGGCACGTTCCTCACTGACCTGGTGATGCTGGACACAGCCATGAAGGACTATCTGTATGTGAGTGGCCTGGGGCCCGAGGCGGGTGGGGGGCTGGAGGACAGAGCCCCTGCCTGAGCCCTGAGCTTGGGCCCTCACGAGATCCCCATAGTGGCCCCACGTGCTGGACCACCAAGCTCCTCCTATGCAGCAGTAAACCTCTGGGTCCTAGCTGGCGACACCCTGGGCCGGGACCACAGAGCCCCAGGAGGGTTTGTTGAGCTGACACAGTGTGTACCTCAGGGTAGCCCATGGTGGAGAGGTGTGTCCAGACCCTCTGAGGTCAGGCCGAACATGAGTGGTTGAGCTGGACCATCTCTCCTCGAGCCTTGGTCTCTGTTCTCAGAGCAAGTTGGGCTGGAAGGTGTGTGCGTGCCCTGCCCCTGGTGGGCACTCATGGTAGTGCAGCCAGGTCCAGATGTGTGCGCATTTGGCCCCCAGTGGGCACTCACGGTAGTGCAGTGGGGCGGCAGTGGTCCAGGGACGCATTCTAATGGACTCTGCTGTCTGCCTTCCAGGGGAGACTCATCAACTTCGAGAAGAGGAGGAAGGTAAGTGATGTGACCCTCACGTGGGTTTGAACTGGAGCCTGACCACGGGGGAGGAGAGGACCCGCACTGGCACTGCCAGGCCGTTGCCATCCTGCCCTCCCCGCCCGGCCCAGGAGTTCGAGGTGATCGCGCAGATCAAGCTACTGCAGTCGGCGTGCAACAGCTACAGCATCGTGCCCGAGGAGCGCTTCCGGGCCTGGTTCCGGGCCTCAGAGCGGCTCAGTGAGACTGAGAGGTGAGCTGGGTGCCAAGTCGGCCTGGCAGGGCAGGGTGCATGCCCTGGGTCAGCATCGGGCCCTGCGGCCTGGTCACCCGGGCCCAGCTCTGGGAAAGCCCTGCAGCCCCAGTAGCCTCACGGCTGCCCTCTGCCTGTAGCTACAACCTGTCATGTGAGCTGGAGCCCCCCTCTGAGTCGGCCAGCAACACCCTGAAAACCAAGAAGAGCACGGCCATCGTCAAGCGCTGGAGCGAGTGAGTGCTGGGCCCGGGACCGCCCCCTGCTGACCGCTCTGCATCGGAGAAACCTCGCCTCTCCCTCTGTGAAATGGGGTGCTACTCAACCAGCTCTCAGATGGCAAGGCCAGATGGGGTGCTGATGAGGATTAGCACGAGGCCTGGAGCGCAGAGCGCAGAGTGCAGGGCTCAGACCAGGCCCCTCCAGTGAGCTGGCCCCTTCTTCCAGCCGCCAGGCCCCCAGTGCGGAGCTGAGCACCGGCGGCAGCTCGCACTCCAAGTCCTGTGACCAGCTCAGATGTGCCCCCTACCTTGGCAGCGGGGACCTCACCGATGCGCTCAGCGTGCACTCGGCCGGCTCCTCCAGCTCCGACGTGGAGGAAATCAACGTGAGCTTTGTCCCCGAGTCCCCCGATGGCCAGGAAAAGAAGGTGAGGCCCGCCCTAGCCCTCCCTACCCGGTACTAGTGCCCCCACTCTGCCCCCACACAAGGGGCCAGAAACCCATTCTGCGGAGCCCCAGAGACTGGCTGGCCGCCTGGGGGGCCCCCCCCGGGGCAGGGGCCGC